AATCTCGAGGCTCATTTCGAAAACTCCAGCAAAGATATGGGACTATTCTTGGGCATGTTTCTCTTAGTAAATCGTTCACTAACACCGGAAAATTCACACACCATACCATGCACAGAAATGCTTGCACATTTATGCATACAACATGGCCATACACATACACAAAAAAAAAACTCATACAAAAAACAATTACAGGCACAGAAACAAAAATATGCAATCATAAAAATAGTTGTAAAAAAACACACATAAACATGTAAACAAAAACGCAGACACACAGTGTGTGAATCGATTGCTCCAGAAAATAAGCTTTGGGACACGCGTACGTCATACGCACGCAACACAGGGGGATACCCCTCAAAAAAATACGGCATTTTACTCAGGCATGACCTTCTGCTCTTGTACCTCCTCGACTTCTCTATTGATCATGATCACAAAAGAAAACTCTTCACACCCGCAGCGTAATGTTATTGTTCCAGAAGTACAGGAATAGAGCGGCACACTGTCCACTCCGGACAAGGATAGGCTACTGTCCATCTCTGTCCAGTGTCTTGACCTCTTGTGCTATTCTGTGTGGGACGCTGCTGCTGCTGTTGCTGTGGTTGCATGGCTATTATATTATTGACGTATTGCTTGCTTTTGTGCAGTTATATTTCGGAAGGTGTGCGTGTGTGTGTGTCACTGAGGTCAGTAACGTGCCATCATTAAACAATCATAAATCGTCTTAGCCGTATTAAACTGTCGAGAGGGGCAAAACATGCGGAAGTGGCTCGAATGGTGATAAATGCCAGTAGCAACTACCCGCTGACAAGGCTCTTGATGACTTTCTCTTTCGAGGACTGCTTAGAAACAAGCTGATGACAACTCTGACTCCCTGGTATAGCTTCTAGTTTTTTAGCTGCTAGCTTTTTCAGTTATTTTGAACCAGTGCTTGGACAAAGTATACATTGATCAGTAGTTTCATCGTTACATTTCTTCTCGCTATCAGTGTGGCTATCAGCTTCTTCTTTGTTTTCTGCATCTCTCACCCACATAATTCCGTACGAATCTCACTACGGCAGTGGTGATATAACGGTATTCTTAAAAAGCAAGATAAAGTACATTTTGTATGGACTGAATTTCTTTCTCACAAAAAAAAAAAATAAATGGCCAACGCACGGGCTACCCGTGCGAAGATGCGTTTTTTGCAGAGTTCCCCG